AGTTCGGCCGCGACGCCGCGGGACCCGCGCGTGACCCTGGGGCGCGGCGCGTGAGGCTCGCGGACTAGGACCCGGACTGGGACGGGGATGGCGAAGCGCGCCACCGTGCGCCCCGCGCGCTCGCCCCGCGCGACTCCAGGCGCTTGGACGCTGGGAAGCGCTTTTCCCCGCGCGCCCAGCTCCAGGCCAGGCCCCGGACCCTTGTCACTTTGGGGCTCGGAAGGGGCCCGTGGCGCCAGTGCCCACCCAGGCGGGAAAGGAGCCTCCGCAGAGTGGAAAGTGCGCAGTCTTTTCCCAGGCAGCCAATGGAATACCGCCCGCTCTTCCCGCCCCCTGCGTGGCACAAGTTCCAAAGGGGCCGTGGGCTGAGGCGGTGCGCCCATGGGCAGGCTGAGAGCCTGGGCCGGTGAGGGGGCGTAGGCGCACGGGGGACACCAAAGCCTTGTGATATCACTCCAGCACCCGGGGTTCTGGTGCTCAGTCCAGTGACAGGAGAGGAGGGACCCTGGAGTCCACAAACGCGTGGCATGGCAGCCTCGTCCTCATGGGCAGGGCGTAAGGGACAGCACGGAAATGCTGCTTGTGACTGGACGCTGTGTGAGGCCCAGAGTAATGGCCAGAGCAGCCTGGCTAGGACAGGGAAATGGGTGCCGGAGTCCACGGGCAGGCAGAGTGGCAACAGGAGGCCCAGGCCTTGGGCTAGGATGCGGCTTCACCAATGACACAGACAGGTAGAGAATCCACTTGGGGTGGCTGAGTGGCTGAGGACAGAACCGGCTAGGAAAGCTGGGACCCTGCCCAAGAACCCCAGTGTTCTGCTTTACATGTGGTACCTTTGGCTTCTACCCACGTGAGCTGACACTTAGACGCATTTGTCCTCGTCCACCTGGGCAGCACCTGTCTTTCTGCTCCTCAGAGCAGAGTTCTGCTTACCCCAGCCGGTTTACTGCTGTTGCCAAAGCCAAAGGAGGCCAGACCAGCAAGAGGCCAGATGCCGGATTTCTAGTCCCTTCTTTCTTCTGCCATCACACACAGGCAGGTTCTGCAGGTTCTCCAAACTCTGGAGCTTCCCTGCCCAAAAGAATCCAGGTCACCAACCCCAGGAGCCCTCAGGATTCAGGGAGGTCATACCCAGAGGGCACAAGGCTATGGATGTTGTGGCAAGGGCCTGTGACAGCCCCAGTTCACTGGTACAGAGTCCCTTCATCCTCCTGGGGACATCTCTAGATGTGCAAATCCATCCCGGAGGGGCTGAGGCTGGTCCTCCCTCCAAGGTGTGACATTGTCTGAAGTCCTTGAACTCTCTCAGCTGTTGCTTTCTGCTTTGTGTGGGAGATCCTGCCCTGTGCCTGGCAGCCAGGGGCTTTGTGTGCTGTGAGTGTCCTGTTCACCCTATGACTGTGGGTCCACTGGAGGGGCAGCATGCTAGAGGCCCCAGGCTCCACAGCTTCGTCTTTCCCCTGAGCCCAAGTAGGTGGATTTGGAGAAACTTGAATTGTAGTCCGGGTTGGGCCCTGAGGCTGCACTCCAACAGCAGAAGTACCTCAGGACAGAAAATGTATCTGAGGAATTGAAATGTATGGGATAGTTTTAAAAACACTATCTACAGCTAGTTTCTTTTATTCATAAATTAAACTATTCAGACTGCTGTTGTTTTCCAAATGTTGAAATATATCCTGTTAAAATAGAGTTTAATTTATTCCTATATACTTGCTCTATTACAAAGTCTTTTGAAAGTGCATTCTTCAAAAAATAAAGAGTCCACTAAGGATTGTCAAAGGCTCCTTACTTGGAGGGTGGCAGTAGGATGCAATTTAAAGGAGGGTGAGTTGGGGAAACCAGGGTGGCTGAGTGACAGGAGTTGTCTTCAGCTTTGCTAGCTTCTCCCTTCAGCAGAACACTCCTCTTTCAAAAGGACTTTGATAGAATTAGGAGAAGTTGAGTGAAATCCTGCCCAAAAGTAGTTGTTATTGTAAATGTAGTTGGCTTTAATTTTTAAAATTCTGTTAAGCAGCAATGAAATGTTTATTTCTCCTCCAGTGATTAGGACACAGCAAGAATATTTTCAGCTCACAGAAAAGGCTTGTTTGTTTAATAGCAAGGTATAATGATGCACCTGTCATCTCTGGGAGGCTGAGGCAGGATGATGACAGGTGGCCATCTCAAGCAACTTAGTGATTTAGTGAGAGTCTATCTCAAAATAAAAAGCAAAAAGGGCTGGGGATGTAGCTCAGTGAGAAGGCCCTTGGTTTAATCCTTGATGGATGTAGATGTATAGAGAGCCGGTTACCTGTCTCTAATGTTAACCTGAGATAGCATGTATAGTTCTGTCTGGGAAAGATTACCAGCACAAAGAGGAGCCCAGGATGGACTAAGACGGTGGCCACACGGACTGTTCCCTCGGTTGCTTTCCCCAGTCTTTTTGCTCGCTAGCTTCTGCCTCTGCCGGCTGCTGGCTTGGGTAAGGTCCAGCTCCCTTTCCCCGGGCTCCTTTGCAGCTCGTTCCTTTGGGGCAGCTGGAAGAGCAGAGCCAGCGTAGCAGGGAGGCCTAGCGGTGCAGGCTGGATGGGACCCCGGGGCCCTTGGGCTGCACCGGGGGCTGCCCTGGCTCCCTGCTCTGCAGTGCCCACGTGTCCACGCATGCTGCTGGCCTTTCCCATCCACACCCCACTCACAGCGGTCATCAGCTACAGCTAACAGCCAGTTCTTTCCACTTCTCCAGAGTCCTTTTGCTTTGTTCCTGTTGGTGTTTGTATGAAAAATGTACCTCAGATTTCAAAAGCAGTGAATTTTTATGGGTATCATTGGGTTAGAAGGGCTCAGAAGCTACTGAGTCAGGTGCAGTGACTGAGGGAAAAGGGATTTGCATAGAACACTTTCTTAGGGGGATGTTAGAAGTGTTTTTGGGTGAAGAGAGGCAAGCTAGCTGTCCCCCTCACCTCAACTAATCCGAATAAAAGAAGAGAGGGTGCTCGGGCCATGCTGTGTTGCCTCCCATCTACAGAAGGGACTGGGACGCTGTAGCTGAGGGGGCAGGGCAGCCCCCCCCCCCCAGCCTGCCTGCCTTTGCTTGCTCACTAGGCCTGCCCTTCATTCATTTGCCTGTGTGCTGGAGGGGGTGTGTGACAACTGAGTGTCCCAAGAAAGCCAGACATGGTCTTGGCTTACAGAGCTCACCGTCTAGTGGTGCAGATGGACAATGACTCTCATGGCGTCAAATGTGTCCTACGAATCTGATACAAGGCTCTTGAGATAGGGAGGGCGCATGCAGTGGCTTCGGAGCTGGCAGGCTTCCCTGAAGAGGGGAGGAGAGGACATAGTGTCAGGAGGTGCTTTCTCTCACACCCAGTGGGAAGGCCTAGAACGAGCCCTCCAGGGTGCTGTAACAACGCACGCCTGCGCACATGAGTGCATGCGTGCACATGCACATACACACACATACACACACACAGAGCTGCCCTGGGGCTGGAATTCCTGCTCCTGCTCCCACTGCGCACAATGCAGGGCCTCGGAGAGGGCAACTCTCCTGGGCTTGTCAGCAGGCCGAGAACCGCACGGGTGAGACAGGTTTGCAACAAGCCGCCCAGATCATTTCTCGGCAAGGCACTAGCACGCTCCATGCCTTCCCTCAGCTTCTTGTTCCGGAAAATGTAAATGGGGCCAGTGCGTAAGTGTTACCTCCTAGGATGGCAACAAGACCTTCCTCAGAAATGGGAGAGGTCGAACGTGAAGCATCTTCCCTGGCAGGTACGGAGTGCGGCTTGGTGGTTGGAGGAACCATTTCGCAGTGGTTAGGCCAGGATGGTGGCCTTGCCCGCTCCTTCAGCCATGACGCCGCCCTCTGCTTGCAGACCACGATGGCCCCTTGTCATCTTCCCTGGTCTCTGTCCCCTACTCTTGCCTGCTGGCCCTCGTATGTCCACCCGTGTCCTAGGTGAGAACTGAGAATTTTCAGGCACCGGTCTCCTTCCCCGGCCTGCCCCGGTGGTGGTGAGCTTTCTCTCCAGTAGTTGCTACCTTTTTTATTCCTCCCAAGACCACATTTTTAAGCTAAATCGCCCTGGACTCAGCCGTGGTTTCCTATAGGCATGTCCAGGAAAGTTCCTGAGTAGGTTTTCCCATCTCTGAAGTCCGCAGAAATGCAGGCTGGCTGCTGCTGTGCCGCTGTCGCCACCCTTCTTTCTGGTGCTTGCATGCACTTCCCGAGCTGCGGTTGAAGAAAGTGGCAGCTGCGGGCTGGTACGGAAGAAAGGCTCTGGGAGCCTCGGCTTTTCTGCTGCCGTAGGCAGGGCTGAGTTATCCACCTCCCAGCAGAGAAGACAACCCCGGCTTCGTGAGCTGATGTGGGCTTAGAGGAGAGCTGCATGTGAATCTCCCATGCTAACGGCGTCCCTCTGCTGTCCCTTCCCCTGCTTGGGGGTGCAGACGAAGG